AGTACTGCAGTGACACAAGTCCATGACACTGACCGATAACATCTGCTCAAAAGTGGGTGGGCAAAGAACCTCTAGACCTTTTTGACCTTTCCTTGAACCCTTTTGATTGAGAAGTCTGGGCGAGTGGTTAGGCGATGTTTAAAGCTCCCTTCTTCCTGCTTAGTCAGAAAAGAGATATTGTCTCTTCTACCTGCCTGTCTGCAGACGCTGTTTCACACAAGAAGGTCAAAGTCAATGGAAAGAAAAAAACAAACCTCATAAAGGATAGAAAAACTGATGGCACTTACGATAAAGACAGCCCGCCTCTCCGTTTAGTTGGGACCATCCAGGGCAACACTTGCACACAGTCTGGTAATCCTGTTTGTACACTTGTCTGTATGCAGTGTAGTAGGCTGTCCTGTTAACACGACAAACTTCATGTTAAAAAACGTTCAATCACATTCAGTCTGAATTGCAGCCACGAGCGATACTAAAACTAACATGTCATTACACAACAGCAGAGCGTTGCTTTGTGCGTGTACAAACGAACAGGAGTATCTCGCCAAATATTTATGAGGGTAATCTTTAATTTTTTTCGCGTGGCACACTGATCAAACAGCTCAGGGCCTTTGAAGTATCATGTCTTATAATGTTCAGCACAAATCCGCTTCAAGGCGCTGTTTTAAAGTGTGAGAACGGCAGACTGTACTTCAGAGAACAGTGCCTCTCCCTGTACTTTGGGACCCTTGTCATTGCTCCACAGTTATTATGCATTGTGAAAACGTTTTGTTTACAGCGGGTAATTGTGGGCTTAGCGGCCTTTAAAGCAGCCTTTGAATTTGTAACCCAGCAGCTAATGTGGGGAAAGCAAGCGTGAGCAACACAGCAGAAGACTCCCAGAGAAGGACGAAAATGTTAGGATTGGGTCTCTCTTTTAAAGGAATGTTTGCTGCCAAGACGTCCGTATGTTAAATAGCTGCTGATGTGGGGCTACACCTTGCACTTAACTCTATAACAGGTTGAAAAGCTGTGATTACAGAACAGGGGTGAGAGAGATGAAGAGGGAAGTGGAAGGTGGATCTCATGTTTGGAAATGGAGTTTAAACGAAGAATCCTGGCCTCTCCGATAAATTCTTTTGGTTGCATGAGTCACAGAGACTACTTCAAAACAAGTAATTAATGCTTTGCTCTAGCCAGAGCTTAATCAGCAAAGCACTACATCCCCTGCAGGTGAGGTCAGGAGTGCTTGCAGAAGAGGAGAATCAGAGGCTTTGAGTACAGAAAGGGGGGAGCAGACAGATGAGAAATAACAAGTCTTACTTACCTTCTCTCATAGCCCATGCACCACGACTGCCCCACACAGCCTTGCTTCCAAACTTTAACCATGCGTGTGAAGGCCTGCACACATGGCTGCCTTTGGGCGACCAGCGTCACCTCCTTCTCCGCACACACATTGGGCCTGGAAAAAAAAAAGTTTGGTAAAAAAATACTTAACATGACAAGATGTTGAGCAGTGTTTTCACAGATGTACAGACGACAGCAGAGCAATTTATGAGCACTTAAAGAGATGTTGCGGCAAAGACAGGCGGGAAAAAGAAAAAAACTTGCTTGAGGCGTTTTCTAGTTGTCAACAATGCAAGTCCTGTGAGGGCATTACCTGTGCTAAGGTGTGTGATGACCAGTTATTGGTATTTCTAAAGACTTAAGGGGAATTCCTTGTGCATCACCTTTCAGGATGATGAGCTACAAAGTAAACCTGCTCTGACTTAAACTCGATATTCAGTGGAACTGTTAAAGTGTTTACGCAGCAGCATCGCTCCAAGACAGAAAGAAAGAAAGAACACAAAATAGATCTCAGCACAGGTAAAATAAGGTGAGCCTTGAAACACTTAACTTAAGTTTAAGTTAACTGCACCATTCACTGCACCTCACAGGCCTTCTTAAAATAAAGTCCAAAACGATCTTTGATACGTTTACTTTTTCCATAACTCTCCAAGGATAAAAAGAAAGCCTCAGCACATGGAGATCAGCGGGAATCCTAAGACAACATCCAGCTGCTCGTCTCATAAATAACAGTGATCACTATCACCTTCGGCTGTACACATAATTTAATGTGAAAGACCTTATTGTTAGTGGCAGGGAGCAGCACAGAAACCACTGTCACACAATTATTATTATTTTAGGGTTTAAAATAGCGGTTATACTTCACTGGCTCATCACTGTGAAAGAAACAGTCATGGACAGAGTTAGGAATGCTTTGCATGCCACACAGAGCCACATGGAGTCAGTGCATTCATATAAAATACACTGACAGCATTCCTGCAAACCACTAAAGACCGTGATGAAAGTGCACGGCAGCAAAATTTATTGGATTGATAAAGCACCGATACATGATGAGCCAAATAATCAGTAGTGGCTGACACTGTTAACGGATTGGTCTGTGTGCAAATTAGCTTATATTTACAGAACAGTAGGTGATATTTATCTATTGCTTCACACTGAGTGTGCACTGAATAAATGTCATTGATAAATAGCTAAAATAAATAGCCTGATATTTCTTTATGATATAGTTTCATTTCCCTGGATCACTAGTGGGAGTAATAAATAACATAACATACAAATAAGATTGTGCTGCACTTTATAATAATGTTACACTGTTGACCATTATTTAAGTATTAATAAGGTGTTAGCAATTTTTTTAATTTATCATTCATATAGCATTGCTCCCCTTAGTATGCTATTTATAAACATAGACATATTTTTATAACAATGACTATGATTATCACTAGCAGTGATTTAGTAGCAGCGATAGCTGTACATGGTGTTATAGTAACAGATGGATAAACATATCTGTATTTATATATAGTATACTAAAGAGGAGTAATGATATATAAATGATGAATTAAGCATTGGCTAATACCATACTAACCTTACTAATGCTTAATAGTTTAACATTATTAGAAAATGCTACCAAATATTGTTATTGTGCCAGAATTTCACAATTTCATCACTTTAAATAATAATAATGATGATAATAATAAGAAGAAGAAGAACTTCCTAAGCCTCTGCTTTCTACCTCTGGTTGAGTCACAGATTTATGGATGTGCAGGTGAACCGGCAGTTATGTCGAAGTTCAAAGGAAATGTGAGTCTGTAAAAAAGTACCTGCAGCTGGATACAGTGAGCGCCACCCTAAATGCATACCTGTGATTAAATAAATATATAAGGATGTGACAAAACTTTACTTACATAAAAGGCTGGAGGTTATTGGCAAAGCCGTAACGGAATGCGTGCGCCTCTATAATAAATACGATGACAAGGGAAAAAATAACACTGTCCATTTTCCTCTGTTTAGGTCACTCTACAGTTTCAAAACTGTAAAGTCATTCATGCGTGTATCCCATCACTACCCAGGACTTAAAAAAAGAGAAAAAAATCTAAAACAAAAAAAACTCCCAACGTGTCAACTTGAAGAAACCTAACATGCGCTTAAAAGATCTTCCTCGTGAAAATGCCCAACACAGTCCAAAAATGACACAGCCATCCCACGCGTGTAGCGTCTCCGTCGCAGCCACTATCCGACTCAGAAAATTCCTGCGCACCTACAACAGGTCGCTGCAGATGTTGGACTGACGCGCAAAAGAAAAAAAAAAAAAAAACCTTGTTTTGGGCGGGGGGCTTTTTGCTTCCTTTTTTTGCTTTGTTATTGTTGGCGGGGTTTTGGGTTGGTTTTGGGGGGGCTCACAGGGAGCCATCTATTATTCAAAGCGTCAGCAGCCCCTGCAAGACACCCTGCAGCCACCGGCACAGTGCGATCATAGTAAGAGCTTTTCTCTCTCATGACTGACAACTTTCAAACTTTCTCTGGACAGTGTCACCATGTCTCCACGGGACTTGTGATGTGTGCGTTAATGTGTTATGATGATAGGTGGTTAAATGCCTTAAAGACAAAATGATCACATTACCCACGTGCACAGAAAATTGTTTTATTATACGTATAATATTTGCAGATTGAGCGAGCAGGAGCGCATTTGCACGACATAAGATGCGCGTTCATTACAGCCACGGACGTGCCTGAAAACGAAGTCACATAGCCTACCATCATGAGTAGAGGATGTTGAAGGTTGTTGAGGTAAGGGAAGCAGCTAGCGGTCACACTGCAGGGCAAACAGCTGATGGGGCGGTCAAAGGGTCAGCAGCCAGGCCTGCTGCTTTCTAAACAAAGCTTTCATAGCATGTATGTGTTCATGACCCGAAAAAGTCCGGGGTCAGAGATGGTACGTGCAGCCTCTGGGGCTACAAGCTATATAAAAACATGCTGTTTCAATTAGGCAGAGCTCATCTATGAAGTCTGTCAAAACTGGGACGGGTTCTCATTCTTCCTCTCCAACAACCAAAACGAATCTAATATTAAATGACTCTGCTTATGTTTATTTCAGGGACGTAACTTGTCCAGGATATATCTGTTGTTGACCGTGAAGAAAACACCGATATCTAAAATAAACAAATTGCGCAGATGCAAAGATTTGATTTAAATGTTGTTTTTCCATTAAAAGTCACAGAGAACAGAATAGACCCTGGTCCTGAGATCCTTATAGGCACGAAAGCCAGACAAATATTTGTCTGGTGATATGACTTGTTACTAAAATACTGAAGACGGCAACTAATGCGATCTGGAGACACTGTGCACGTCTTGCATATCCTAATGTGCGTTTATCTAATTACACCACAGCAAGTGGTGTTTCAGTAATTGCAGTTTCTTTTGAGACTGGGGGAAAACAGTCTGGGTACATTTGAGTATGTCAGAGTCCTAGGCCAAGATGTGGGTTAAGCCAGTCTTGAAGTGGCACATTTGGAAAACAAATATATATAAAGATGCACCGAAAAACCAAAAACTACACTCATTATATCTCATTTTATCTGACTGTTTATATCAGCTTACCTGATTGACACAAAAGAATGGACGGTAATTTGCTGACACCTTGTGGTCTAAGTTAAAACTTACACAGTATGACAAGTCCTGTTAATATTAACCAAAAAACAACAACAGGAAGTAGTTAGAAAAGGCGAACTTTGCACTGCCTGAACTACAGCCAAGAAAAGCGGCCTAATAAAAGCTGTACTAATTGATCATCTGAACAGCACTCTCCGCTTTAAACGGTTTAAGGAACTTTACGACGCTCCTTTAACATACGACCTTTGCCCTCTGTCGCCTGATCGCAGTGCTATAGTAGCATGCTCTGGGTAATAACACGACCTCTGTGCACACTCCGACAGAGTAAGGCTATCAAAGACGTGCTTGTACATTTGCCGAAGTGTGTGGCTCGCAGAAACATGTCGTCTCCGGCTAAAAAGCCGGTGTCCTTACTGGGAACTATGGGCTTCGGGGGGCGAGCAGACGCCGAGCAGAGCCTGGAAATGGTGAAGGCTTTCCTGGACAGAGGACACAACCAGGTGGACACAGCCTTCATGTACGTCGATGGGAAGTCAGAGACCATCATTGGAGGCATGAATCTCCCCAAAACAGGTATTTTATAAGCACACAGTAATGCTGCATGTTCCTAGCGTGCTAACAACAACCGGGTAACCAACCAACGTGCCTGTTGGTTTCCCCACCTTGAATTGTGGGTAACCAACTTTGTTTATAAAGCATACAACAAACATCGACCAGGGTGCTGCACAACATCAAACATATGTTAATGAAGCCATTAAAACACGTTTTTAAAAAGTTTTTTTTTTTAAACCACTTCTGATTGTCTCAAAACTAAAAAGAAGGTTTTGGAGCTGCTTAGTCGAGGTCCATAGCCTTGACTTGTATATCAAATTGAAATACTTTGGTGTGACCTCATTCTTGGTCTCGTTAAAGTTTTGTTTTTGTGTGTGTGTGTGTGTGTGTGTGTGTGTGTTGTTGTTTTTTTTTTTAAATGAAGGCCATACAGCTTTGATGTCACTGAAACATTCTAGCAATAATGAATCCAAAGTTTAAGTGCTGCAATAAGAGCCTGGCTAGCTTTCAGTGTCAGTCTGTCTCACAGACACTGAAGGAGCTGTGCTGTTTTAACCTGACTACTTCTCACTCATTCACAGTAAGCATAGCTACCAAGGCCAATCCCTGGGATGGAAAGACGCTGAAGCCAGAGAGCGTGCGCTCCCAGCTGGAAACCTCCCTTCAGAGGTTGCGGACAGACTGTGTGGACCTTTTCTACCTCCATGCCCCTGACCACCAAAACCCTATCGAGGATACTCTCAGAGCCTGCAATGACCTCCACAAAGAGGTTAGCAGACCAGGGAATATATAAACATATAGCTAAATAACTTGCTTTAACATAACAGGAAAAAAATAACTTTATTGTCCATCTGTAGTCCTGAGATGTTTTAATACTAAATGGAAAGTATCAACTCCCCAGGGAAAATTCAAGGAGCTCGGCCTTTCAAACTATGTATCCTGGGAAGTGGCTGAAATAGTATGCATCTGCAGGCACAACAACTGGATAGTTCCCACTGTTTATCAGGTAATATATCCTGTTCTAAGGATATTTAACTTTTATCTAAATTCAGTAGCCTGATCCTATAATAATCAGACTACTATCAGACAGGAGGGCCATACTAGCCATCTTGTGTTGAATGAGAGTAAACTTTCACACTTCTTCATCTCTGTGGTTTTTGTTCAGCAAATCACTGAAGATTTAATCTTTCATTAGGTGTTGTAGACTGAACATTTATATGTCTGCTATACTGTTACTTGTTTTTCACCTGTTTCTAATTCAGATTCTTCCAATCTTTCACAGGGAATGTACAATGCCACAACAAGACAGGTGGAAACAGAGTTGCTGCCATGTCTGAGATACTATGGAATGCGATTCTATGCATACAATCCTCTGGCAGGTAGTCTTTCATGGTACACCTTGCAGTTCCATTTTAAAAAGTTTTATTCAAAAGAAAGCACTTGTGATTGTGAAAAAGATGTCACTTAATGTGGAGGGATAAAAGCTATCCTCGAGTTATCCCAAAATGAATATATTATATTAAAATATGTTCCATACATGCATTCATGTCCCCCTGGAGATGGATTTTATTCACTTTGGTGATCCCTTTTTGCTAGCACACAATAACCTGATGCTGAATAGTTAGTAGTTGCTTTAGTTAGTGTTTTTTTTTTTTTTTTTT